AAGGGACTCCAAGGTGGCACCGGGGAGGGAGCGTTGACCATGGCCAAGGGCACACCTGGGGGGAGGGCAGAGCTGAGCGGTGGCGCTGTGAGGAGGGGACGTCTGGCCAAGCCGCAGTGGGTGCCATTCCGATACAAGCCTCACAGTGCTGGCGGGCGGCCGTCCAGACCAGCCCAAGCGGCCGAGGCCAGAAAGACTTGACCAGCAGACAGGCTGAGCCTTCCCCTCAGCTCAGCCCAGGAAGGAGGCGGCACCGCCCCTGTGCGGCCCTGGGAGGTGGGCTCCGGGTCGGCGGCCAGGCGATTGCACAGGTCGTCCACCTGCTGTAACAGGTGCCCGAGGGCTGTGCAGCCGGGAAGGGGCGCCACCAAGAACCTGCGGGCAGCGCAGCGTCCTGGGAACCCCGGGGCTCACCCCCAGCGCACGCCTCCTGGCTCGTGACCCCCTCAGTGGCGAGGTGGGCACCACAGCCCTGGTCATGCGTAGCTGAGGAACAAACATCCCCTGCCCGGTGCCCGGGGCCACACCCAGAGCAGGGCAGCGAACAGCAGTCACGGCTCCCCTGCCTCCAGGGCTCCGGCCGGCTGTGGGATGTGAGCAGAACAGCTCCGCTCCCTCCCTCAGGGCCCCCCTCTGCCTTCCAGGGCCGGGGCATCAGGACAAGGGCCACCCACACCGGGCTCAACCCCTGCGGGAGCCGGGCTGGACCGATGCTCAGGTTGGTGCAGGGCCCCAGTGAGAAATGCCACCGCTGGCCGAGGGGAAGCCCGTGAGCTGGCATTTGAGTCTCTTGGTTCTGCTCCCTGAGCCGTTGGCAAGTGAACCCCGAGCTCCTTCAGCACGAAGGGGGTGGAATGGGGGCAAGGTTCCCCAGGCAAGCACCAAAAAGGAATATGATGAAAGCAGCTTCCCCAGCAAGGGAACCTCCGACACTGAGGCCTCGCCCCCCCCCCGCCCCCCATCCCTGGAGGGGTGCTATCTGAGTTCCCAGGACCCAGCCCCAGGCCCGGCCAGCAGCACCCCGAGGTGCAGGTGAGCCTCCTCACTGCGGGCCTGAGAGTCCCCAGCCCCAAGAGCTCCGTCATCTGGGGACAGCTGGGCTCGGTGAAGGGCAGACCCAACCCCCGCCAGCCTGGCACTGCACCCCGCTCAGGGCCCAGCCAGCCTGGCACCACACCCCGCTCAGGGCCCAGCCAGCCTGGCACCACACCCCGCTCAGGGCCCCGCAGCACCCTACTCAGGGCCCAGCCGCACCCCGCTCAGGGCCCACCCATACCCCACTCAGGGCCCAGCCGCACCCCACTCAGGGCCCAGCCGCACCCCGCTCAGGGCCCAGCCAGCCTAGCACCACACCCCGGTCAGGGCCCCGCGGCACCCCACTCAGGGCCCACCCGCACCCCGCTCAGGGCCCACCCATACCCCACTCAGGGCCCACCCGCACCCCGCTCAGGGCCCACCCATACCCCACTCAGGGCCCAGCCGCACCCCACTCAGGGCCCACCCATACCCCGCTCAGGGCCCACCCACACCATACTCAGGGCCCACCCACACCATACTCAGGGCCCAGCCGCACCCCGCTCAGGGCCCACCCACACCATACTCAGGGCCCACCCACACCATACTCAGGGCCCACCCGCACCCCACTCAGGGCCCAGCCGCACCCCACTCAGGGCCCAGCTGCACCCCTCTCAGGGCCCAGCCGCACCCCACTCAGGGCCCACCCGCACCCCACTCAGGGCCCAGCCACACCCCACTCAGGGCCCAGCGCACCCCTCTCAGGGCCCAGCCGCACCCCTCTCAGGGCCCAGCCGCACCCCACTCAGGGCCCAGCCGCACCCCACTCAGGGCCCAGCGCACCCCTCTCAGGGCCCAGCCACACCCCGCTCAGGGCCCAGCCGCACCCTACTCAGGACCCACCCCACCATACTCAGGGCCCAGTCGCCGGGTTTTCGGTTTTCGGGTGTGTTGGTCCCCGCGCTCTGCCCCTGGCCCTAGGTGTGACACCCATCAGCACAGAGCCCCGGGGGGACACTGCCGGGCAGATGCTGTCAGGCAGGGGTGGGGAATGGAGTGGGGACTGGGCACAGCACTGCGGCCACCACACGGGACCCACATGGCCCTGAGCTCCTCTCCTGCAGCTTAGTCCTCCCAAGACCTGTGTGGCGGGGGCTCCCAGACCCACCTCACTGAGGAGACGAAGGCGCCCCAGAGGGGCCGCGGTACAGGACACAGCTGAACCCCGATCCGGGCCCAGGTCTGGTGCCAGGGCCAAGGGTGTGGGAACGGGTGGAGGAAGAGGGAGAATGTTAGGGGCCTCAGCCTTAAACAGGGTTCCTGCCTTCGTCCCACCCACTGAAGGGTGGACCCGGGGAGCAGCAGACACCTTGCATTGCAGAAATTCAACCTCAGAGTAACGGCCGCCAAAGCGATGCGTTTCTCCACGGGAGGCGAGGTCTCCACCACGGCTCTAGTGACGTCTAAGGGAAGAGTTAGCAGACCCTCCTTGCAGAAGTGCAGGCGCAGGGACCAGAGGCCTGGGGGGGAGGGCGAAGTCTCCAAGGCCGTGCAAAGGCCCTGGGCTGCGGGCTCAGTCCCTGCCTCCACCTCTCCCTCCGCCGCGCCCGTCACTGCCTCCTGGCTGTGCTCCTGGCTTTCACACCGCCTCTGATCCGAGGCCGGCGGCAGGCAGTGTGACCGCTGGAAAATGCAACTCAGACCACACCTGACAGGGACCCCCTGGACGCCCTCTCACGGCAGGCGGATAACCGCGCCCCCGCCCTCGCTCTCTGTGGCAAGTTCTCACGCACCCCTGGGAATAAAAGTGACAGTGTTCCATTTGGCGGTCAGGGGCCAGAGCTGCACGCCCCCAACCTGCACCCGGGGAGGAGAGAGCGGTCGTTAAGCAGACCTAATGGTTGTTTTCCCCAACCTCTTGGAACCTGAGGCAGCAATTTTCAGAGGCGCCTTGATTTCTTTCTAAACAGAGACAAACATGGCATTAAATCATCAGCACACTCAGAAATCAGAGCGGCTAATCTGGCTTCCCTTCCACTCTGTTCCGGTTGCAAGGAGCTTCCAACGGGAGGGGAGGAGGGAGAGAAGCGGGGAGAAACAGCCAGCGCACCAGGACGCCCTGGGGGGATGACGGGCCCTGCCCAGGCTCCCAGTGAGCCGCGCATGTCTGTCTGCGCCCAGCGGCCCGGCCCGGGGTCCGGAGGCCCGGCTTGCTCCTGTGAATCACCAGGGGCCGCAGTGCTGTCCGGCCGGGGCACCACTGAGCGCACCTAGTCATGAAGGGAGACGGCCCTCCGTGTGTCCCGGAGACAAGCACGGGGCAGTGCGGGCTCTTTCTTAACAGTGAGCATTTCTCCTAGAAGGAATCTGTCCCTTGTGAGGAGAGAGAGGGAGGAAGGAGACCTCGGACTGGCAGGACGTTTTGAAAAGAACAAGCTCCCACGGTGTGTGCAATTCTGACTCCTCGGAGGGTCTTCACGTCCTTACCTGTGCCCAGGGCAGGCTCTGTGTGCCAGCCGGCCACGGGCCCTCTAGGGGAGGGGACTGAAGGGACAGGTGGGGGGACAGGGCAGAGGAGGAAGCCATGTGTGTAGAAAACTGCTTTTCTGACGAAGCAGACCCCCCACCACCACCAGCAGCTAGGCCCAGCTTCCTCAGCCCATGGGCGCCGGGGCCCTGCGTGGCATGTTCCTACCGCAGTGCCGTGCCTCGAACATGTGAGGGGAATGACAGGTCACTAACTCGGGCCCCGGTCCTGACTGGGGCAGGGTACCTGTGCACCCCAGTCCATCAGCCCTTACAACCCCAAGAAGCAGGCCCAAACCCCCAGGCCCCGTGCCCTGGCCTCCCCCAGCGCCTCCTGTCCACCCTGTCAGACAGCACCTCCTCTGCACACAGACCGCCTCCTGCCTCCCCTTTTCTCCAGTGCCCGGACTGCGGCCAGACCCCCTTGGAGATGCTCAGGGGCGACTGTCCGGGCCCCACCAGGACCGTCCCTGGAGCAGAGACCGTGTCTGTCCCCTGGCTTCTCGCAGGTGCCCAGCAGAGGAGCGCCCAGAAGTCCAGGTCAGAAGAAAGAACGAATGAGCCCTGGCCGGTCTGGCTCAGCGGTCAGAGCGTCGGCCCACCAGAGAGTCCCGGGTTCGGTTCCCGTTAAGGGCATGTACCTCGGTTGCAGTTTGTCCCCGGCCCCGGTTGGGGTCGTGTGGGAGGCAACCAGTCGATGTCTCTCTCACATCGATGTTTCTCTCTCTCTTCCTCCCACTCTATCTAAAGATAAATGTAAAAATGTCCTCGGGTGAGCATTAAAAAAAAAAGAATGAACGAATGAATGATGAATGAATGAATGAATGAGCACGGCTTCTCTGGCTGATCCAACCTCCCTTGCCAAAGCCAGGCCACTGCGTCCTTGCCCCCGACCTCCCTGGGCCCCCGCAAGTGTGCTGCTCACGGGCAGCCTGAGCAGACCCCAGGGGGGCGGCCCCCACCCCTCCGACAGCCATCTTCGTCTGGTGCCCCAGCAGCGGGAGCAGCACCCACTGGGAGTGCGGGCGCCTCTGCCAGCAGCGCCGCCTGGGCACCTGCGGCACTTCACAGCCCCTCCCCGCGCAGATGCGCCCAGACGTCCCCAAGAGAAAACCCGGTTTATGCTGCAGACAGAAAACACCCACGGAAATTGTCAAAAGAGAAAACGTGAAAGTTTACTATTTCATACATAACTGTAAAAAATATATGAAATATTTCCAGTATAAAAGATATAGCAAAAAGATATGTTTGTACAAAACCCAGTAAGAAAACAATTTTACCACCTCGGGTGACCCGGGGAAACAGGTGCGGGAAGCCGGTGGCCCGCCCTGGGCGGGGCCGCCCTGTGCAGAGCCGCCCTGCAGTGGGCACACCCTCACCCTGGCCCCGGGGGCAGCAGCGCCCTCCCCCCGCTAGCTCCCCACCCCAGCCCTGGAAGGGCGCCGGCTGAGGCCACCCCTTCACTGGTAGATGACCTTCACGCAAAAGGTCTCCTCGTTCTTGTCCTCGTGGTCGTTGATATAAATCAGCACCTCCTCCTCGCCAGCTTCGCGGCCTGGCGCGAACCGCAGGCCGATGGTGTAGGTCTCTCCACCCTGGACCTGGACAGAGCAAGTGCCAAGGTCAGCGCCCAGCCTAGCCCCCCTCCAGCAATGTCCCCACAGGTGTCCCTCCAGCAGAGGTCCCTGGCTGACCCAGGACCTGACCCCGGCTCCTGCCTCAGTCCTGGTGGTGGGGCCTCCAGGCTCTGGTTCTCTGGGCTGTGGTCCCCGTGCTCCCGGGAAATGCCTGAAGACCTCCTTCCTCGATCCCAGGAGACACCCTCAACCAGAGACACCCCTCCACTAACTGACAGCTGTGACTGGCCCAGCTCTCCTTCAAAGGCTCAGGACAGAGGAGGCAAACATGGGTGGTTCCGGATCAAACTATGGAGAAACCACCGGGAAGGCTGGTCACCAGGCTGACTCCCGAAAGGGTGCCTAGATGTGGGGCTCTCCGAGAGGAAGGCAGAGGCCCTCACAGAGGTGCCTGCCCTGTTCAGCACCACAGGAGAGCACAGGACACTCCCAGGCCTTCCTGAGGACTCCGGTCACGGGAGGACCGGCCCCTCCCCTCCCCACTGGAGGACCGGCCCCTCCCCTCCACACCCCACTGGAGGACCGGCCCCTCCCCTCCCCACCAGAGGACCGGCCCCTCCCCTACCCACTGGAGGACCAGCCCCTCCCCTCCCCACCGGAGGACCAGCCCCTCCCCTCCCCACTGGAGGACCGCCCCCCCACCGGAGGACCGGCCCCTCCCCTCCCTACTGGAGGACCGCCCCCCCCACCGGAGGACCGGCCCCTCCCCTCCCCACTGGAGGACCGGCCCCTCCCCTCCCCACTGGAGGACCGGCCCCTCCCCTCCCCACTGGAGGACCGCCCCCCCCACCGGAGGACCGGCCCCTCCCCTCCCCACTGGAGGACCGGCCCCCCCACCGGAGGACCAGCCCCTCCCCTCCCCACTGGAGGACCGCCCCCCCCACCGGAGGACCGGCCCCTCCCCTCCCCACCGGAGGACCGGCCCCTCCCCTCCCCACCGGAGGACCGGCCCCTCCCCTCCCCACTGGAGGACCGGCCCCTCCCCTCCCCACCGGAGGACCGGCCCCTCCCCTCCCCACCGGAGGACCGGCCCCTCCCCTCCCCACTGGAGGACCGGCCCCTCCCCTCCCCACCGGAGGACCGGCCCCTACCTCTCCCCCAACCTCCCCACCCCCCTCCGGAGGAAGCAGCCCGGCCCGGCCGGCGCCCACCTGGAAGGTGTCCTCCTTGAACTGCAGCAGGTCCGGGCGGTCGCTGTGCAGGTGGAAGGTTCGCCGGAAGGGGTAGGGGTTGGTGTAGGTGATGCGCTTGTGGGCGCCCCTCCCCTCCCCCGCGGCGATCGTGATCTCGAAGGCCTGCGGGGAGGGCGGCCGTGGGCTCCTTCTGCGGGCGTCCGGGCGCCTGCTCCTCGCGGCCCCCAAGCTGGTGTCTCCACAGACAGGACACACACGCCCTCCGGGCCCCGGGAGGGGCTCCCAGCCCAGGAGCAGCCCCCCAGCCCCCTGCCTGGGTGGAGACCGGGAGACAACGCGGCGACACCCCCGACCCCGGGGCCCACACACGGCACCCCCAGACCTTGGAGATGAGGGGCGGGCGGCAGGAGAGGCACACGAGCCACGAGGCCACGAGCTGCTGGCAGTCCACGTCCACCACGTTGAGGCGCACGAAGCGGCCGCCCGCTCGGCGGGGCCGCAGGGCCACGTGCAGGTCCCGCACCCCGCGAGGCGGCAGCACGAAGACGCCTTTGGGGTCCGTCTTCAAGGAAACAGAAGCAGGTGGGGACGAGGGGTTTCCCGGCATCGCCACCCGGCGGCCTGAGAAAACCCGAAGGGACCCGCTGCTCGGGGGACCACCTGCTCGGGGGGCACGCGGTGTGCGGTCAGAAAAGGCCTGAGAACCCCAGTTCTCCCTCAGCGCCCGGGCCACAGGTCACAGTCGTGTCACCCCGTCTGACGCCCCCTGTCGGCAAGCCCCCTCCCACGAGGCGCTGGCTCCCACCGAGGCCACTGGCGGAGCCCGCAGGGCCCACTGCGCAGACGCACCACGGGCCACACCTTCCCCGGAGGGACGGTCCACATTCACCGGCCTGTGGGGCCATGTCCCTCGGCCGTCATGGTGCGGAGGGGACACGCACAGACCGCCACAGCCCCGGAGGTGCCGGCACTGAGCCGCCCACTGCCCTGCCCCACCCCGCCTCGGGCCAACCACTGAGCCGCCCACCGCCCCGCCCCGCCCCAGCCCCGCCTCGGGCCAACCACTGAGCCGCCCACCGCCCCGCCCCCACCCCACCCCGGGCCAACCACTGAACTTCCCCCGCCACATCCCCGCCCCACCCCGGGCCAACCACTGAGCCGCCCACCGCCCCCGCCCCACCCACACGTCCCAGCTGGGGTGAGGATGGCAGAAGCTAGAGAACATCCAAGGAACCCAGCAGCGCCCACAAAGCCGTACCGTCAGCTCCTGGGGGTGCGAGGTGAAGGCCCTCACTTTCCTGACTGCCTGCGTCCCCCGGAGGACAAGGGACAGGCGGGTGCGCTGGCCGGTGACACAAGAGACGTCCACCCGCTGCAGGGAGTGCAGGTGCACCTGCCATATCTGCACGGGCCTCGCCAGCCAGCGGTCCCTGTGGGCAGGACGGCCGGCTGCTGTCACCCACGCCACCCCCCAACCCCCCACCCCCGTCGAGTGGCTCTCGGCAGGACACAGCTCAGGCGTAGCTCGGACTGCACAGCCCTAACGGGAATGGCAAGGGGGCCCCCGCAGCGCAGCGCAAGGCCATGGGCAGTGCTCCGCGGGAGACCTCGCTGGTCACACAGGCCTGAGCGTGCAGCCCACATCTGCTGCCGAGGCCATGGGACTGGGCACTTTCCCGTAAAACAGGCCCAGGGCCGCGCCCCGCATGCCCCTCGGCCCGCCACCCCAGGGGCGCTGCACACAGGCTGTCCGCTGCCCGTTCTCTCGGCCTGTCTGAAGGTCCTCGGAGGGCTGGGAGACGCCACTTCCGAGGGGCAGGGGACCAGGGCTCTGCGGCTGGGCCAGGGAAGCAGAGGCCGATCCAGCCCGTCTCCAGCACTCTCCCCCTCCCTCGGCCTCCGCGAGGGAGCCCCGTGACAGTGGCAGCCGGTGGGCCCGGGCACTGAACGTGGGCACAGCTGCCTCGACCTCCTCTCCTTGGTGGGCTCTGGACCCATCGTCCCTCGGGCCGCTGGTGCCACCCTGAGCAGAGGGCGCCTTTGCCGGGCTCCTGCCAGCCCGTCACAAGCGGAGAAGGAACCAGGACTGGCCCACTTTTGACCCCCCAGCACCCTGGCTGCCTCCCCACCACTGCTGACCACCAGGCTTGCGTACTCACGCGTAAATGGTGACAAAGAAGTCTTTGATCTCCGGGCTCAGACCACTGGCCACCTTCAAGAACACGTCCCTCGGCTCCCCGGGGCCCTGCCAGACAGTGGGGGCATTGCAGGAACATGCCCGCCTCCTCGCTGCCCCGGTCCCCATGAGCCCAGCAGGGCTGAGTCAGGCCTCCGACACCTCCGGTTTTCTGTCCTAATCAGAACTCACTACTTCTTTCACCACAAAGGGAAAACCTCTCCCTTCCTGATCTTATACTGAGTTCATTAATCACATCTGCAGAGGACGGTACCCAGTGTCCCAAGCGGTCATCACACAGTGACAGCCGTCATTCTGTACACGGTGGCAACTAATAAATGCCCTTATTACCATGTGCGCCTCACTCATTTCGCCTCTACCGAGGAACGGGTCTGCTAGCCGTAAAAATGAAAACCCATCCCCGAGGCACCCACACGGACGGCAAAGCCCTTCAGCCCCTTGGGAAGAAGTCGCTCCCCCTGGAAAAGCACAGTGAGGAGGCTGCAGCCGGACGCAGGTGCGCGGGCCCCGTAGGGAAGGATGGAGCCGGCCAGACTTACCACATTCTGGGTCTCACAGATGACGCTTGGGTCGCTACATCGGACGTGAACTGGGGGGTCCTCGCCAGGCATCCCCACAGGAGCCCCTGGGCCAAAGATAACAAGACAGATGTCTTTCCCGACAGGCCTGGCCAGCACCGGTGCTGAGGGGACCAGCACGCCACGCTCCCTGCCCAGGCCCTCAGGGACACGGCACCGGGGACTCAGCCAAAGACAGTGGGTGCGAGTGCGGGAGCAGGTGCCCAGCCTGGGCCCCAGGGCTCTACAGGCCCCGAACAGAGAGCAGGGCTGGCGGGTGGGGAGCAGTGTCCCAGGCTCGAGCCCAGAGCTGCGGCTCTCCGGAAGGCGCGACCGGCCAGCCAAGGGCCCGTCATCTCGGATGAGACGAGAGGATGGTTACTTCACGTGATGCAGGCAGGAGGCGGAACCGACAGACTTGTCGGGTGTGGATGTAAGGGCATCACACGGTAACATGGCGAAGCCACTTGTCACCCTCGAGGGAAACCATTTCCCACCTGCTGACCCCACAGAACCCTGGCACGGGGCAGACAGGACCTGCCTGGGAGCGTGTGCCAGGGAGGCAGGCGGATGGCCTTCTTCAGGAAGGTGAGCTCTGGGTGGTAGAAGCGGAAGACCTGGTGCACCTCGTGGGGCTGGGGCTGCACGGTCAGGCGGAGCACCGCCAGGGGCTTGCCGCTGCCGGCCCGGAACACCACCTGCGGGAGGAGGGCGCAGCGTCAGGACGCACGGGCTGGCGGCCGCTGTGTGCGCCAGGCCCCTCCCGCAGACACAGTGTCCCCAGGGTCCTCTCAGCCCCGAGGGGGACGCCAGCACCACCGCGGATGGGTCTGCACAGCAGGTGCTGCACACGGACACGTTCCCCCCACAAGCATGTCATGCGTGGCTGCTTCTCTGCTCATTCCACCCTGGAAGGCACAGGCCCGGATGGCAGCGGACAGTCTGCACCCCACTCCAGCCTGTGTGCAGGAGGGTGCAAGGGTCTGCCCTGGGCCTCGCCAGGTCCTCCCACGGTGCTGGAGTGTCAGCTCTGTGATTCCAGATGGCAAGGGCGGGAAGTATGCGCGTCCTTCGGAACCAGTGACTTACTAACACACGTATCTGTCAGAAGAGCCCCCGTCTGGGCAGCTGACGGAATGGGTGTCTTTACCCCCCGGCTTTGGTCAGGCCCAGGGACCAGGCCACCAGACTACCCTTCCACTGGAAGGATGCTCCCCTCCTCCAGCAAGGGTTACTGTGAAATCTCTTAGGTGCACATATGTAAGAGGGTAAGTAGAAAAACGGTTCAAGTCACAGAGTATAACAGGACAGCCCCCACGACCCCGTCCCTGCTCACCCCGTTCGCTGTCCACATGCGAGTTCTGTGCCCCCAGCCCCGCCTGACACACCCTGAACTCCAGGGTCACCCTCCCCAGCAGATGCAGAAAAGCCCATGGGCTGCGCTTCTTCCTGGAACCCAGAGCAACAGGGAGCAGCACCGGGAGCCACGGGGGCCAGGGGGGAGCAGCACCAGGAGCCGCGGGGGGGGGGGGGGGAGCAGTCCTGCCTCTGCAGACCTGCCAAGGAACCTGGATCCTCAGACCGAGCTCCGTGCTCTCTGCAGCTTCCCTGACCCCGAGAAGCCCTGAGACAGCTGACGTCTGTCCAAGTGAGTGGACGTTCTAGAAAGGCTGACCAGGTGACCAGGGCGGGGCAGGCAGCCCTTCAAGAGGGTGTGCAGAGCTACACGCGTCACACGCGTGGAGCTGCAGGCTGCGGACACCCCGCGCGGGGGATGGGGGTGAGCGCTGGACACCCGGCATGGGGCATGGGGTGAGCCCTGGACACCCCGCGCGGAGGATGGGAGTGAGCACTGGACACCCGGTGCGGGGGATGGGGGTGAGCGCTGGACACCCGGCATGGGGCATGGGGTGAGCCCTGGACACCCCGCGCGGGGGATGGGGGTGAGCCCTGGACACCCCGCGCGGAGGATGGGAGTGAGCACTGGACACCCGGTGCGGGGGATGGGGGTGAGCCCTGGACACCCCGTGCGGGGGATGGGGGTGAGCCCTGGACACCCCGCGCGGGGGATGGGGGTGAGCCCTGGACACCCCGCGCGGGGGATGGGGTGAGCCCTGGACACCCCGCGCGGGGGATGGGGTAAGTGCTGAACACCCGGCGTGGGGGATGGGGGTGAGCACTGGACACCCCACGCGGGGGATGGAGTGAGCCCTGGACACCCCGCGCGGGGGATGGGGTGAGCCCTGGACACCCCGCGCGGGGGATGGGGTGAGCGCTGGACACTTGTCCCTATGACAGAGGCTCGGCCAAAGAGCGGACGCGGAGGCGCTGACTGCCAAGCGTCTCGGCCACGTTCACGCTCTGCACACGGGCACACATATGTACATGGGGGGCAGGCTCTTTCTACCTCTATCTCATTAAATAGTTTAACTTTGGACTCATGTAAATGTTTTTAATTAACGTAAAAAGTCCTCCTTTTTTAAAGGCTCTCCACATAATAAAAATGAGTGGAACAAACCAAAGTAGCTACACTGAAGCGGTGAGGTAAACCAGAGACGCGTTCCTTCGGTAACTCCGTGCTCAGGCGAAGGAAGCGCTCAGAAAGCCCGCCTCAGCGCCCTGTCTGTGGCTGGCGCTGCTAGCTTGAGATACACACACAGACCAGACTGCAGCCAGTGCGGCCAGCGGCTGTCACCCTCAGGAGGACAGCGCGACTGGGGGAGCGGGTGGAAGACGACGGGTTTCTCACCTACAGAAAGAGAAGGTGCAGGCACCAGGAAGCGGCCTGGCCCTCCACAGCTCGCCCGGGGCCCCTTGGCGCTGCAGGTGGCTGCCTGTGCACTGCCCCCCACAGGAGGGTCCCCCCAGCTCTGCCTGCAAGACCATGGCTGCCTGTGCACACGTCCTCTACAGGAGGGTCCCCCCAGCTCTGCCTGCGAGACCTGGGCTGCCTGTGCACACGTCCCCTACAGGAGGGTCCCCCCAGCTCTGCCTGCGAGACTATGGCTGCCTGTGCACACGCCCCCCACAGGAGGGTCCCCCCAGCTCTGCCTGCAAGATCTGGGCTGCCTGTGCACACGCCCCCCACAGGAGGGTCCCCCCAGCTCTACCTGCGAGACCATGGCTGCCTGTGCACACGCCCCCCACAGGAGGGTTCCCCCAGCTCTGCCTGGGAGACCTGGGCTGCCTGTGCACATGCCCCCCCACAGGAGGGTTCCCCCAGCTCTGCCTGGGAGACCTGGGCTGCCTGTGCACACGCCCCCCACAGGAGGGTTCCCCCAGCTCTGCCTGGGAGACCTGGGCTGCCTGTGCACACGCCCCCCACAGGAGGGTTCCCCCAGCTCTGCCTGGGAGACCTGGGCTGCCTGTGCACATGCCCCCCACAGGAGGGTTCCCCCAGCTCTGCCTGGGAGACCTGGGCTGCCTGTGCACACGCCCCCCACAGGAGGGTTCCCCCAGCTCTGCCTGGGAGACCTGGGCTGCCTGTGCACACGCCCCCCACAGGAGGGTTCCCCCAGCTCTGCCTGGGAGACCTGGGCTGCCTGTGCACATGCCCCCCACAGGAGGGTTCCCCCAGCTCTGCCTGCGAGACCATGGCTGCCTGTGCACACGCCCCCCCCACAGGAGGGTCCCCCCAGCTCTGCCTGCGAGACCATGGCTGCCTGTGCACACGCCCCCCACAGGAAGGGCCCCCCAGCTCTGCCTGCGAGACCTGGGCTGCCTGTGCACACGTCCCCTACAGGAGGGTCCCCCCAGCTCTGCCTAGGAGACCATGGCTGCCTGTGCACACGCCCCCCACAGGAAGGGCCCCCCCAGCTCTGCCTAGGAGACCATGGCTGCCTGTGCACACGCCCCCCCACAGGAGGGGCCCCTCAGCTCTGCCTGCAAGACCATGGCTGCCTGTGCACACGCCCCCACCCCCACAGGAGGGGCCCCTCAGCTCTGCCTGCAAGACCATGGCTGCCTGTGCACACGCCCCCCCCCCCCAGGAGGGGCCCCTCAGCTCTGCCTGCGAGACCTGGGCAGTGAGCCCACCAGCACCCAGGTTTGGTGTCTGAACACCACCCTCCACCAGAAGCGCCGGGGCACATGGCTGGTTCCAGAAGGGGGCGGGCAGCCTCCAATGCCCCTGCAGCCCCTGCTTGCCAGGCGGGCAGGAAGGGCCCCGAGAATGACAGGGACGCGTCGACGAGCCAGGAGCCAGCTCGAAGCAGCTGTCGCTGGCTGGTCGGGGACAGCATGAGCAGCAGAACAAGTAATGCCAGTGACGAGGTACAGCCCACGGACGAAAACAGAATGAAAGCTCCGTCTTGCTCAGCATGCCAGCCAGAGGAACGCTGAAGTCTGAGAGCCACCCACGGCCGCCACCGTGCCAACCGCCCGCGCCAGCAGGGCCCCCACGGGCGCTGAGGCCAGCGGGCAAGGCTCGAGAACGTGGTGTTTACATGGCCTCTGTGTGCCCTGGCCTTTCGGTATACTTCTGGGGACCAAGTACAGAATGCCCCCTGCTTCATCACAGGGCAGACGCCTGGCACCGCATCTAAACCACGTCAGTTACCAGTAGCAGGACAAAGGGGCACCGCATCCCTCCCATGAGGAGGGTTCAGGAGGACACAGCAGAACGCCTGGTCTCCCTGCGCAGCGTGCACGAGCTGAGCCTCACCCAGCACCCGTCCACAGACGCTCTGCAGGACCACTGGCCTGTGGGCTTCCAAGCACAAGGCCATGACGGGTGAGGACAGCGTGGGCGGTGCTCCCACAGGGAGAGACCAGAGACGGCAAGGACCCCACGCGCCATGCGGACGGCAAGGACCCCACGCGCCACACGGACGGCAAGGACCCCACGCGCCATGCAGACGGCAAGGACCCCATGCGCCACGTGGACGTGGGGCATCAGTGGGCTCGAGTGGGGACCTTGGCTGATGTGCAAACGGAGTCCGAGTGGCCGCATCAGGGACCGCTCCCTCGTTCTCCCCGCCACACAGCCGTGGCAGAGGCTGTGCCAACCTTCGGGGCACACCAGCTCTAAGTTTCACGGAGCGACGGGCATGATGTCGACAACTTCGTCTCAGAGCCAGACTGGCGAGCCCTGGGAAATCGGGGCAAATGCGGGGATCCCTGCACTGTTCATAAACTCTCTAACTCTGAGAGTATTCAGAGTGAAAAGTTCACCAACAAAGGCACAGGCTCCGGCCGGTTTGGTTCAACAGTTAGAGCATCAGCCGGCAGACCAAAGGGTCGCAGGTTTGGTTCCCGGTCAAGGGCATGTACTTAGGTTGCGGGTTCAATCCCTGGCCCCAGTGGGCAACCAATCGATGTCTCTTCTCTTTCTAGCCTCCCCTTCTACTCTATCTGAAAACAATCAATGGAAAAATATCCTCAGGTAAGGGTTGAAAGAGGGAGGGCCCAGGAGCTGACTTGAAGGGACAGCAGCTGCTCAGAGGGGACAGTGTCCGCACCAGGCCCTCTTGGACAAGAAGCCATCTTCACATGGAGACACCCAGGTACCACTTGCTGTCCTGAGATGAAGGGCAAAGGCCCAGCAGCCCTCACTTTCTGCCACGAAGCAGGTCCCAGGGCAACCTGAGCGCTGGCGGGACGTGGTGCCGGAGGAGCCCCGCCGAGCAGCGCAGAGGTGGCGAGCACTGTCCCACCCCTTCACCCCGATGCGTGGTGCACCAGCCCCAGGGGGTCACATCATGCCACCAGGACCAACCCGCCCCCTTGGCCTCCCCAGGTGCCCAGCAACCGCAGAGACAGAGCACGGGACGGTGGGCACCAGGGCACATGGTGGGCTTCACCGAAAGGGTGCAGATGGTGAGAAATGTCCATGCTACACCCCGGCCCAGCAGCCGTGCCAGCATCTGGACATGCAAGTCCCTCTGAGCACCCTGCCCCCGCCCCCGACCCCTTTCCCCAGGAGGCAGGAGAAGGGCAGAGGGGCGGGGCCCAAGCAGCCTGACACACAGCAGAACTCATGAGGCTTTGCCTGGCCCACTCAGGGAACATGCGGCTGACACCCCAAGTCCTCGTGCATCCCCGGGTGGGAATTCTGTCTTCTGCTCCTCACCTTGGCATGTCTGGTGGGCATCACACTGGACTTGCCAGGCCGTCCAGGGTCTGTGCCCTTCTCAGATCTCGGCTCAGCAGAGGCCTACAGAAAGCCAGTCAGCACCAGAGGGTCATGGGTGGAGTCCTGAGGTGACAGGTACTGCTTTCTACCTGCAGGGACTTCCACCTGTAGGAACAGCTGCTACCCAGAGTCACATCTGGGTGGCCACAGTCATAACCAGCCTCACAGTCCCAAAGAGGCTGCCGTGGCTTCGTGAGCTGTGCAGGGAGGAGTCCCACAGACAACCCAGCTCTGCCTAAAGCCAGAGACCTGACGGCCTCACCACTGTCCTTACAACCTCTTGTCCCCAGAGTGCGTCCCAGAGCCTGCAGGGAAATCTGTGAGCCCAAGGACTCCCCAGGTCACTGGAGGGGTGATCGCTATCCCACAGGACTGCCCTCAAGGGTCAACTGTGCAAAAAAGGAGACACATGCCCACGCACTCTGCATCACACACACACACACACACACACACACATACACCTCACACCCTATAGGAGGAACGCTCAGTCCCTGCATCACCTACTGAGCAGCAAATAAAAGTCACAAGCCGGCAAACAGCTGTACCTGGAGAGAGTGCGCCCCGCCCAGGGAGAACAAGCCCCGCCCAGAGAGAACAAGCCCCGCCCAGGGAGAACAAGCCCCGCCCAGAGAGAACAAGCCCCGCCTGGAGAGAAGGGGTTGTTCCTGGTGGCATGACCTGGGCCACGGTGCACAGCGTGGGTGCCAGGATGCGTGAGGATGAGTGGAGGCCACCCCGCTGCCGGTGCCCCATGGCTCAGGGCTCCTCGAGCTCCCACAGCTGCCTGCGAATGGGATCCCTCCCTGCATGACAAGCAGCCCCTGGCTCTGGAGGAACCGCCTCCCACCTGCACCACGGAGAAGGTCTGGTATCTGAAGGGGATGTGGGCGGTCTCCCTGGGGCGCAGGAAGAGCTGGGGGGCGAGGCTGCCCCGCAGGTGGAACATGTCCTCCTCCACGGGCGTGTGCAGGTTGGCCACATCTTTGAAGTATCTCCACTCCCGGCTGTCCAGGATGAGGCTGGGGGGAGACGCGGGGCTGGCACGAATGTCCTCCGCAGCCGGCCCCAGCCCCGCAGGCGCTCCGGCTGGTCTCACCTGAGCTCAGGGCTGTCCACCTCGATGGTCACCGTGTGCGGCGTGCTGTGAGGGTTCCTGAGCGCAAACTCGAAGAACTCGGCGGCGCCCAGGGTGGCGTAGATGGTGTGCTCCGTGGTGATGGCCAGGCTCAGCGCGCTGCTGATGTTCTCGGCCTTCGAGCGCTCGCGGTAGGCGGCGATGACCTGCAGGTCCCTCGCGTGCTGGGCACGGACGCTCTGCTGGGCCTGCGAGACACCGGCGCCCACGCCAGGGCGCTGTCCTGTGGCAAGTGCTCCTCCACCCCACCCCGCCCTGAACACCCGGGTTCTTCTGGACTCGCCGCCCCCGCCTCCCTCGCGGGCTGGGTGGGGCCGGCGGCCTCCAGCTCCAGCAAACAGAGCGGGGTGTGCCTGTCCTTCCACATGGACATCTGCGGGCACCCCTGGCTTCTCTCTGCCCACAGGTGGTGCACCCACGGGGGGTGGGTCTGCCCTGCAAGTTCCCTATTGACGACAACCAACCGCCAACTGCCCCCAACTCCCCCACACCCATGAGGCCGGTATGAGGACGGGGGGAACTAAAACCAAAGGTTTCAAACAAAAGAGAAAAGAACCTTAAAACTAAGACAGGTGACCGGCCCACCAACCAGGCTCTGTCTGCAAGCTGAGTCCCTAGGAGGGGACGTGTCCTGCCCTGACTGACCCCAGCGGGGCCGGACAGTGGGCATGCCGCCTCGACGGAGCTCAGCCATGGGACTGCGTCCCCCTCCCCACAGATGCTGCGGTCAGTGGGCGTGGCCACCAGGTGTGCTGTGAGGCGGAGCCTTCCACCAGCAAGTGAGGCCCCAGGGGCTGCTCTGCGAGAGCTAAGACCAGAGGGCCACGCCCAGCAGGACCCCCAAACACGGAGGAGGCCCAGGCGTCAGGAGGAGAAGGCCGGCCGAATGCCTCTGGACTTGAACCCAAAGGTGAGACCAAGTTTGGTTTCTGACGTAAGTGACTGGAGACTGACTCTCCAACGCCCACACGGTGGCCTTTCCCAAGGAGGGGCTGAAGCTGGGCCTCTCATTTCTGCCGGGGCCTTGAAAACGGGAGGGTCGTCACGCTCCCACTCGGGGCCTCCCTGGGGGACATTTCATAGAGCTTCTGCGTGGAGGGGCCTCTGACAGGCTGTGCTGGGCAGCAGCGCCAGACGGGGGGATGACGGGACAGAGTGACTCTGCAACCCAGAAGGGACCAGCGGGAGCGATGGGCGGAGACAGGGACCCTGGGGCTGTGGGCAGGGCAGCTCTGTGCCCTCCTGCTCCTCCCAGATGGCAGAGAAGCTGTCAGCCTCCCTCCTGGGCAAGGCCACGGATCTGACGGGAAGCCCCTGAGCACACCCCCGCAGGCAGCGCCCCCCTTCGTCCTCTTCCTCTCAGGCTCCCCGAGTCTGAGTCAGCAGGGCTCACACCGCTCCTGGCCGGGGTGAGGCTGGGGCACCCGCCTGCGGTGCCGGGCGCGACGGACCGGACCGCGAGCTTGCCGGGTCACCCCAGGCTCAGGACGAGGACACCTTGCCTTCAGATACAAGCCAGCTCCACCGTCAGCTCCCCGTAGTCGTCAGCGAAACCGCGTGACGTCGGGCCTCTCCACTGTGCGACGCTCCTGCCCGGTCTCTCATTCGAGACCCTGCAGGGAAGGGTGCCGGTCCTACTGGACCTGGAGCTGGCTCAGTGGGCCCAGTGAGCGGCTGGCTGGGATTTCTGGACTGGAAAGGTCTCCCCCGTGGCCCTGACGGCTGACAGCCTGGCACACGGCAGCAGTGCCGCTCTCGCCGTCCTGGGGGGCGGGGGGGCGGGGAGTGGCCTCCGGGAGCTGCTGGGATGTCACTGCAGGGCACACAGAGGCTCTTCCTGGGACTGTCCTGTTACTGTGGCCACAGTGGCACCAGGCTCAGAAAGTTGGGTACCTCTCCAATGGGGAGCAGGGGAGCCAGAGTCCAGGCCAAGGGCCCCAGGGACCCTGCCGCTCCCCACAGAACTGGCAGAAGGATAACCCGCCAGCCCTCTTCCCAGGCGGGGTCCACGGAGAAGGGCCTGGGCCAGGGGCTTCACCGCACACAGTGACCGACGCAAAACAGTGACAACCACCAGGACCAGCACTGTCCGAAGCCCTGGGCAGAGTGAGACGGGCGGCCCGCAGAGGCCGTGACTGTCCCAAGGCGCGGCAGGGGCTCGCACGCTGGCATCTGGCCCCATTCTGCGCTGGGGGCCCCCAGGCCACACCACCGTAACCAAGGAACCTGAGACACTCGGCCTCCCCCAAGTCCATAGCGACAGCCCATGAGAACGACTCGGGAAGGAAAAAAGCCACGTGCGACTGTCCCTGCTCGCTGGTGACCTCCAGCGGCTGAGACCCCCTGTGCGGAGGACCCCGCACTCCCTCCTGCTCCCGTCCCTCCCTCCGAGGGGCCCGGGCTCCACATCCTCACCCCGCTTCAGGAGAGGAGTCAGCGCTGGAACGGAAACTGCGGTGTGTTCATGAATCAAGTCACTTCACTCAGAACTCTCCGGGGCGACCGGCCCAGGAAGTCATTAGAATTCAGTGGAAATTTTTCTTGTATTTAGAAATCCGATTACCTCGAAACTCCTGCTGTATTCAGACGAGGAGTATGAGCTGTTGATTTCCCATCACGGTGACTTCCAGCCTTTTCCATCTCAGGCACATGAACTACCTACTAAAACTGTGCGACGCGCCAGAATGACATTTTTTGCCTATCTGACAAAAACAGGTGTATCTTGGTCCATTCGCACTGGGTGGCCAGCGCTACTGGCTGCTGTCACTGGCTTGACAATCGAAGGGAATGGAGGTCTGTGCCCAGGCTAGAGGGACAGGCACCACACGTGCTAAAACTCTCGTGGCGCACCCGCTGAAAATCGCTTTTCTATCAACACGTCACCGTGCAAACTAATAACAACACCACCACTAACGACGACAGCGGCCGTCCCAAGTAGGCCTTGCCATGGGCCAGGCCGAAACACTGAGCGGGAGGAGCTCCCTGGTGGGCTGGGGAACAGGGTCAGGAAAGGAGCCCTCCTGCCCACCAGCCTCCCCAAAGCACAGCCTCAGGGCCACCCCACCTGCTGCCCCCTCCCTGGTCCTGCGGCTCAGACCGGCCGGCCTTGTCCTCCCTCGTCCTCTCCTTCCCCTTAGACTGGACGGCCCTCGGCTGGCCGGTTCATTTCTGCCTCCCTCCTGACGCTGCACACGGTGGGGGAGCGGGGGACCACGGACCCCGGGCACAGCTCTGCCCGAGGAAGGGACAGTGGGATTTCTGCCCAAATGTAAGGGGACCTCAGGGGATCTCTCTGGGGCCTGTGGCTTCTCTGCTCTGAACCATGAAGGACGACCATTCTTCCCTCCATTTCGAACTGCAAAATGTTACAGGGTCTCATTTAGGTTTTCGGCCCAAAATGGGAATGTCTGCTCAGCATGAGCTCTGAGAACCCCGAACAGAGAAGCTGCCGCAGCCCCCGGCCCAAACCCAGGGCCCTTCAGACCCCTTGTAAAGCTTTCTGAAAATCCGAGGCTCCCAGGAGCCCCGAAACCAATCAGAGACAGGGTCTCCAGGGTGGAGCCCATGGGTCCACTTTAACCAAAGCTCTCCAGGTTATTCCAACATGAAGAAGTCCAGCTCTCGTCCCGCAGTAGGACTTGGAGGAAACGGCCGCTCGGGAGGAGGGGGCGCGGGGCGCACAGGGCTCGGGTCCCCTGGGACAGCCAGGGGAGAGGCACTCACCAGCACCCCGGCCCTCCGGCAGCCCAGCTCGCCTCCGGCCTCCTGCAGGCGCACGGCCCTCATCCGCTCCAGCTTGCGCCTGCGGACCGCGTCCCCCTCTCGGCCGGAGCCCGGGGGCCCCTTGCTCCTCGGCGGCATGGGGGTGAGCAGCATGGCGGCCAGCTCACTGTCCACGTCGGCCAGCTTCTGAGCCTGGACCACATTCTTCACACCTACAAGGTGCAGAGAGGAGCCAGAGGTGAAAGTGCACAGTTCGTGTGTTTTAAGCAGAGCAGGGACCAACCTCCCGGCCACCTGGCCCAGAGGACGCTCAGCGTGTCCCTCCCTCTTGCGTATTCTACGGTGATGTAGATGGTAACTGCAGGCCTGGTCTCCACGTCCCTCCCACAGCTCAGGTAAGAGGAAGTCCCATCTTAGCCCTAAGACCACATTCACCAGGAAGCGCTAGGGGGCTCCCAGGACGCCCCAGGTAACACCTCCCCAGGACTGCCCACCCTGTCACACAGCCCCTCCAGGAGCACCCCTCAGCTCTCAGGCGCCCTGTCCCATCAGGTCCTCAAACCCACCCCGGTGGGGTGTCACTTGACCAACGCTCAGACCGGGAACTGGGGGCTCCCGAGGCTTGTGCCCTGGGCTGGAGCCACCTGGCCAGTCACAGCGGGTGGAGTTCAGACAGAGCCAGGCTGACCCCTGGACATACACGTACACGGGGATGGAGAAGACCGGCCCAGGGTGGGAAAGGTGGACCCTGAGCCAAGTTCACCCCTCTAACCACACGTGCCCCCTTTGCCTCAGGTCCTTGAACATCACAGTGAGGATCGTGGGCCAGGGGTGAACTTGGAGGGCCGCCCCCCAGAGAACGTGGAGGGACCCGCAAAGTGTTGGCTGGAGTCTCAGGAGCCCGTGGGGCCCTGGAGCCCTCCTAACATGGAGCCAAAGGCCTCCGGTTCCAACCGGCCAGCCAGCCCTGCCCGCCCTGGAGCACGGGCTCCAGGCCCTACGAAGTCTGAGGCCCAGCAGCACAGGGAGCTCGTGGTGGACGGGTTCCCACGAGATGTGCGACATCGGGGGCACGCTGTTTACATGACGCGTCCCACTTTCTGTCCCGACGAGCATTTTCTGTTTAGGTGTGTGGGTCACTTTAAGGGGACAGAACAACACCCCTGCTACGGGAAATTTTTCTCACCAAGCCCTGGTCTTCATTTCCCAAGCTTCATAATTAGTCTGCCCCTATTCCCAGCGCAGGGGTTTCAGGTTCATTTCTATAAATCAGTCTGCGCCCGCCTGACCTTCTCTTTCCCTCTTCCCTGCAGGAGGGCAGCTCACCGAAAACAAATGCCCCTCGTGGGACTGCCGCTGCCCAATGCCAGGCGGCGTCCACAGAGCCCAGCCTGGGCCTGACGAGCGCGGCGAGCCGACGCGGCCCGCAGTCCGCCGAGGCACCACGCTGGACACTGGTGGCCACCCCTCTGCCCCAGACGGGGGCACGAACACCACGGCACATCTCACGTGCGTGCCGCAGCCTTCTCCCCGTGTGCTGCACCCCCCGTCACACCCACGCGAGGCCCACCCTCCCGCCGTCTGTCCACTCACGTCTCGGGCCCCCTTGCGTGAGGAGGCTGCCTCCCTCGAAGCGGCTGGCTCCATCGTTCGAGATGATCCACGACCTGGAAGGTGGCAAAGAGCTGGACTCTCGCCCTCTCTGCTCACACAAGTGACCTAAACGAAGAACCCTGGCATAAGACATTCATGCCAGACGAGGCTGACGACGTGCCCACGTGCCCCGAGGGGTCTGGATCCCACCCGGCCGCCCCAGCCCTCTGGCCCACGGCCCCCACATCCCGCCCTGGGCTCTGAGTCTGCAGCGGAGAGAGGACAGGCAGGTCGCTCCAGCCCTCCTTCTGGGCGAATGTCACCTCGGAGCGCTCCCCGTGTGGGGTCACCCCAGCAGCGCCATGCTGCCCATCGGTGCAAATGTCCCCTGAAAGGCATCTGGCGGTACCAGCGCCCCCACAGCCGAGAGTCTTCCCGGCTGCTTTCACGATGAAGCTTGCGGGACAGGCGTGGGAGGGCGGCCGGGCCCAGACCCGGCACAGGTGGGGCAGCGCCCAACCTGCCGGCGCCTGAGCGTGGGGGTAGGAAGTGTCCTGGGAACCGCGCCTGTCCGCGTGGACTTCACCCCGGGGGGGGGGGGGGCGCGCGTGGCCGATGAAGGCACCTTCCCAAGTGAACAGCACACAGGCTCCCGCTGCCCCCTCCTGGCCCTCGGGCCGAGCTGAGGTCGCAGGCACGAAGCTCCGCTGGGCGTGCTGGGGTGTCGCTGTGGCCCCCCCCTCTCCTGGGTGCCCTGGTCCCACTCCCCACCCCGCTCTGCCCGGGAGACCGCGTGACCTCCCTGCTCAGCTCGGCCCCTGCTGCCCCTGCAGAGCCCCTGCCGCTCTGGGCCTGCGGGCGACGAGCTTGGCACCTCTGGAGGCTGCGGGTTCCCAGGGCGAGCTCAGGGCCGAGCGTCAGCACGCCGCCTGCGCGTCTTCTCCGCGACAGGTGAGTTTTCTCGTCCAGCTGCTGGACGAAGTGTCGCTCTAGACCCTTCTGAGCTGGGGTGAAAGGGGAGGCCCGTGTCTCTGTACCGCTCCTAACGGCTGTCCTCTCCAGACCCAGGGGAGGAGCCAGCCCCTGTGGTTTAAAGGCTGGTGCGAGTGAACAGCGCCCCCACCTGGAGAATGCCTGTGCTCCCTGCCTTTCCAGCCCTGCGCATCCTGGTGCTCTCCAACCTCAGCTCCCGCGGCCTTCCTGCGGCCTTCCTGCGCGGAGCCACCTCCCACAGCCGCCCTCAGGGCGGCCACCCGTAGGGCAGGGGCAGAGCCTGCTCAGAGCCACGTCCACAGCCCAGCCTGGGCGCCCTGGGCAAGCCGCTGCCCACCACACACTGAGGGTTCCGCCTGCAGAAGCTCACGCCAGACGCTGGACACCACGCCGAACGCTGGATGCCACCCCGGACGCTGGACGTCACCCCGGATGCTGGACATCACCCCGGACGCTGGACGCCACACTGGACGTCACCCCGGACGCTGGACGTCACCCCGGATGCTGGACGGCAGGGCTGTCTCCTAGCCCACCAGTGAGCTCACGTCCTCTGCCGCGGTAGCCCCGACAGTACCGCCGGTCTCCTGGGCGGCGGGGCCAGCCTCCGTCTAGCACAGGAACTGTCAGCCCCTACCTGCAGATCCGCTCCCCCACAAAGACGGACCACTGCTGCTCCACACAGCCCCACTCACGCGGCCACGACGCCCCCACCTCCTGACCACGAGAACACGCACCTGCACTGGGACCACCAGGGCCTCTCCTGTGCTCCGCCCGCCCCCGCCACGGCCTCCATTCTCTTCCGAGGGCTCTCCCTCCTCCCTGCAGCCGGAGGCCACTCAGTCCTTTGCCAAACATTCTTCTTGTCCACGTGGGACCTATTCTTGACCCAACAGCAGCTCATCACAGGATCGCATGCTCATCGGGATTGCATGCTCATTATGGGATCCAATGTTCATCCCAGGATCCCACTCTTGTCACGGGATCGCACGCTCATCACGGGATCTCAAGCTCATCATGGGATCGGACGCTCATCACGGGATCCGACGCTCATCACGGGATCGGATGCTCATCACGGGATCGGAAGCTCATCACAGGATCGGAAGCTCACCACGGAATCGGAAGCTCATCACGGGATCGGACGCTCATCACGGGATCGGACGCTCATCACGGGATCGCACACTCATCACGGGATCTCAAGCTCATCACGGGATCGGAAGCTCATCACGGGATCACACACTCGTCACAGAATTGCACACTTGTCCCAAGGGAAAGAAGCTGTATCAACACGCCCTTCGTGAATGAGCTTTTCCAACACTTGGTGTCCAGGGAGCACAGCTCCGGGGCCGGCTGGGTCCCCAGGCATGGTGATTGATCCATCCTCAAACCTTCTGCCCCCAGGCGAGCTGTGGTCACTGCCAGGACGGACATCACAACCAGGAGAACCAGCAGGGCCCTCGAGGAGCCGGTCGTGAGGAAGACGGACAGCCAACCAGCAGGACGGGAGGGGACAGGGAGACTGGCTGAGCACGAGGGGACAGCGGCCCGCTCCTGGGCCCAGCAGTGGCACTGCCCGGTCCCCTCGCAGCTCCCTGATGTCACATGATGGGGGACGACATGCCCTGGTCCCCAGCCCTCCCTTCCTGCCACCAGCTCAGAAAGGGTCCAGGCTCCTGGCTCTGCACCGTTTCTTCCACATCGAGGGGCACGTGCCCCACAGGCGCGGACGAGCTCTGCGCCCTGGCCCGAGACCCACGCCGGGCTGCCCAGACAGCGGCACACGCCCCTGCACTCACCATGCGCACGAGGGCTCACACCACACTGAGGGCAGCTGGCTCAGCGCGGCTTCCTCCAGCACCCAGTCCTGCGGCTCGGGGTCCCCTGCAGGGCAGGCAAGGCCGCCCCTTGTCCCCCAATCTAACTGAGGCAGGCACCAGCCTATTCTAAGCCTCTGAGTCACGCAGAGACCAAGGAAACCGCCAGGTCAGGACCCGGGCCCAGGGCAGGTGCCCACATCCATGGAGCAGGGCACTCATGGGGACTGACGGCTGTCACTGAGCATGTGGGACAGCAGGCCCACACGGCCCCTCCTGGACAGACAAGGGGCGTCCCCAGGCTTCCTGGACTCGCATCTGGGGTGCTGGCCGGTTCACGAGAGGGACAATCACCTGGAGAAGCTGAGTCCACCTCTGCGCGGAGACTCGAGGACTGTGTGGGGCCAGGATGCTGCACTCCAACAGGGCAGTTTCCAGTCGGAACCTGCTGCCGGTTTTTTTCCCCTTCCATGAGACAGGTCCCAGCTGGCACCAGCAATGTGCCACGAGGGCCGGAACCCCTCAAACACAGAGCTCCTGGAGCAGCCCTGCAGCTCCCACGATGCCACGGGGCCGCGCACGCCACCACGGTCTGACCCCGCACCCCGGTTCTCCTGCAACCCTGAGAGCACGGGGAGGCCTCTCGGGGGGTAGCAGACAGCGCGGTCACACTGCACGCCCACGGCCCCTGGGACACAGCGAGCACACGTCCTCGATGCCCACATGATGAAGGTCGTCGAGAGACGGCTTGCAAAGCAGGCTGCTGGGAGTGTCCAAAAGCTCGTCTGAGCCTGGCTGGTGTGGCCCAACGGTTAGAGCATCAGCCGGTGAACCAGAGGGTCCCAGGTTCAATTCCGGTCAAGGGCACGTACCTGGGTGGCGGATTCAATCCTCGGGCCCGGTCAGGGCGCATGCAGGAGGCAACCTATCGATGCATCTCTCTTACATTGATGTTTCTCTCTCTCCCCCTCCCTTCCTTCCTTTCCATCCTGAAAAAAAAAATATCCTCGGATGAGGATGAAGTAAATGAATAAATAAATGCCTGTCTGAGCCAAGAAGCCACCGGGTCCAAGGACGCATCTCCAGGAAAGAGCCCCAAGAGCCCCCATGGCCTCACGCGCACACGCACTGCCCCGGCGAGGCCGACCAGGCGCAGCGACGCTGGCCCCACGGTCATCGGACGGCTCCACGCCGTCACCCAGTCTGCCGGCCTGTGCCTGCTGCTGGGTGCGGAACAACCAGGTTCAGAGGGTAAAAGCCAGAGGACAGCGCAGCGGCCGGGCAGGCGCAGCTGCTCCCGTCCGTCCTTTGTTAGCCGCTCCTCCCGTGCCCGTCTCGCAGCGTCTCGAGCAGGTATCGCAGACGCTTCCCGGAGCTTATCTCTCTCTTGCAGGCAAAGCATGAAAATGACAATTTAAGATAACACGTAATGGAGCTAATCTTTCTTCTGAAGATAAGATTTTAACACCCCGAGTCACTGCGCATTTGTGGGCTGGCGAATTAAATGTAAAAATAGCAGCAGGATCTGGGAGCGCAACGCTCCCTGCACCGCCCTCGGCCGAAGGGCCTGCGCATCTGTCTCTTCTCACACGTGGCTCATTGTTCCTCCAGAACCTGATTGAGCGCTGCGGTTTCCGCAGTTTCCCCAGCTGCCTGGGACCCTGTGTTTGTAAACAAGCAGGCAGAACCCTCGACCCCGGCGCAATGAGCTGTGCGCACCGTGCTGCCGCAGGTGGATGTGGCCCCGGGGGCTCAAGCCTTTCCGCCCCGGCTGGTTCTGAGGAATGGAAAATCCCCCAGTGAAACAGCAGAGTCCGAGCCCCATCCAGACAGACAGGGCTCCACACACCCAAACCGCTCAGCTTGGTCCGAGAACAACCCACGTTGCCCAGGACGACCCCAGTCCCTCCCAAGTCCCCTCATGGGAGGACGAGTGGGCTTGTCACTGGCCCGCAGGGGCCAGCACTGCCCTCTGCCCTGAGGCGGCCTCTGTCTCTGGTCCTATCGGGCCTCGGTTGCGCCCCCAGAAGGCCACCCCCAGCCAGGCTCCCTGCACCCTGCACATGGAAGAGGGAGAACCAGGGCTCAGTCTCCCCGCAGGGCACCTCTCAGGGCACCGTGGACGGAAGGTCCGGCACTGTGCTCTAAAGAAATGCGTCTCTGTCCCCGCCCCCAAGCTGTGCGGGAGTCCAGGGACAGGTCTCTTCCCTGCTCCTTGATGAGGCAGCTCTGTGGGCTGACACTCCCAGAAAATCTCTCCTCGTCGCTCTATTTGAGGGTTGGCACAGCAGGGCCCCAGGGACAGCACCAAAAATTAAACAAGGGCCAGGCCAAGATGACTAAGGAGCCCAAATCCTGATCCGAAACCAAACAACTGGTGTCAGGACAGACTCTGTGGTCAGATGTGAGGGGCAGGCCGGTGGTCAGGGGCAGGCCCGGTGTGAGGGGCAGGCCCGGTGGTCAGGGGCAGGCCCGGTGGTCAGGGGCAGGCCCGGTGTGAGGGGCAGGCCCGGTGGTCAGGGGCAGGCCCGGTGTGAGGGGCAGGCCCGGTGGTCAGGGGCAGGGCCAGTGTGAGGGGCAGGCCCGGTGTGAGGGGCAGGGCCGGTGTGAGGGGCAGGGCCAGTGTGAGGGGCAGGGCCAGTGTGAGGGGCAGGCCCGGTGGTCAGGGGCAGGGCCAGTGTGAGGGGCAGGGCCAGTGTGAGGGGCAGGCCCGGTGTGAGGGGCAGGGCCGGTGTGAGGGGCAGGCCCGGTGTGAGGGGCAGGGCCGGTGTGAGGGGCAGGCCCGGTGTGAGGGGCAGGCCGGTGGTCAGGGGCAGGCCCGGTGTGAGGGGCAGGCCCGGTGGTCAGGGGCAGGCCTGGTGTGAGGGGCAGGCCCGGTGGTCAGGGGCAGGCCCGGTGTCAGGGGAAGACTCATTGGTCAAGAGCAGGCTCACTGGTCAAGCTAATAAGAATTTCTGACTTCCTACTGAGTACATGATGCCCACAATGTGGCCACTGCCCCGAGGAGCTCACGTTCCAGCTGGGAAGACGCAGAGGACCAGACCAAGCTGTCAGGAGTCTTACCCACGTTGGCCAAGGTCAGGTGCAGCCAGCCCTTCACCACCGTGTGGACACCAATTGGCTTGACGCTGCCGAACCCAGTCAGGTCTCCGCTCAGCACCAGCGCGTCCTGCTCGTACTCCGTGGCCACGACCTCGAGCTCGTGGGACACCTGCACAGCCGGCCGCCCCTGGCGGAGGAGATGCTGCAGAGGAGGGAGGCAGCCATCAGGGGGGCTGCGGCAGAGCCCCTCTGAGAACCTGAGCCCCTGACAGGTCCTTCCCACCGATTCTTAGGAAGTGCAACTCGACTCACCCACTGAGTCAACACCAGGGGGCTGCCAGGTGGAGCCTCCCCCTTGGGGAGAAGAGGGGACAAAGCAACGGAGCAAGGTGGGGACAGAAGCAAACCCCACCCAGTCAGTCAGAGCTCCAAGGTCTGAGGCAGACCTTTCAGAACCAAGATGCACCCACAGGAAGGAAAGGATCAGGGACACGCCAGGCCCAGGTGCAGAGCACAGAGCCCCAGCCCCTGGGAGCGTGGGCGCCAGTATGGCTGGAGGACGGGCCTCCATGGCCGGCTGGGGTCAGACAGCCAGGATCCCCACCAGGCCGGTGGGCCGGACAGTCAAGGGCAGACTCTGTGCGGGGTCAGGACCATGCTGACCACAGGCTACTCTGCTGACCAAGCTTAGCCCCTCCGTCCTCTGCCTGAGCTGAAGGCTAGTGGGGCCCTCGGGGAGGATGGGATCACAGGTCACCTCTGGGCCCAGCGGGGCCCCTCTTCCTGTGAGGCCTCGGGAGAGCTGCCTGACCTCCGGACCAGCGCTTCTCACGCGTGAAGGGGACGGGAACAGACCACGCCCAGCCTCCGGACCAGCGCGTCTCACGCGTGAAGGGGACGGGAACAGACCACGCCCGGCCTCCGGGCCAGCGCGTCTCACGTGTGAAGGGGACGGGAACAGACCACGCCCGGCCTCCGGGCCAGTGAGTCCCACGCGTGAAGGGGACGGGAACAGACCACGCCCAGCTCCCAGACGCCCGTGCGTCCCCACGGCCCACAGTGCCGGTCTCGGAGTGAGCCCTCCTGCTCGGGTCTGGGGCTTCCAGCTGCGCAGACCCTCCTCGCTCAGTGCCCTGCTCCTCGGTGCCCTGCTCAGTGCCCGCGCAGACCCTCCTCGCTCAGTGCCCGCGCTCAGTCCCGCACATCCGACCGCACCACTGGCACAGTTCGGAGCCTCAACGGCTGAACACGTGAAAGGCCCTCTGGAGAGCGACCAGTCAGTGCAGGGAGCACCGCCACCTCTCAGCTGGGGGAGGAAGAGCCTTGCTTGGAAGAGGACCCGTGAGGCAGGGCACAGGCAGCGGGTCCCTGGCGGCCCAGCACCGCTCCCACCCCTGCTCCCGAGCCGCCGCCCCCCCCCCCCCGCACCTGGCTCAGAACCGTGCTTCTGGGGAGTCTGCTTGGGGAGGGCACAGGGTCTGGAGCTGTGAGTTCAGTGGTGCAGGGCACCGAGGAGCAGGGAGTGAGGGGCGGCTGCAGGGCTGAGGCTCGGGCAGGGAGACAGAGGGCCGCCCTGGCCTCCAGAAGGAGAGCAGCCATGGGGGCGGAAAATGTGACGACAGGAGCGTGTGGGGAGCTGCCCCCACAGTGCGGTCTCCTCTCCCACCCTCACCATGGCTGGAAGGGGCCCCAGTGTTGGAACAGAGCGGGCTTGGAGAGACCCGGGGCAGAACAGCGGCTAACACGACGGTTTGGGTTTCAGTACGAGGGATGGGAAGCCCACAGAGAAAGGGTTCTATTCTAATCCCCCCGGAACTCCAGCACGCCCACCTGACCCCGCCCTGGCCGACTGAGGCCGGCCTGGGCTGCCCTCAGGGAGAAGGGGCAGAAGGTGACATCACCTGGTCATTCGGTTTGCGGGGGAACAACTAACTAGCAAGTGTAAGCCAGCGTCACAGAATGTAGATGTCATGAAAATCATTCCCTTTTGGGAAGGAGAGCCCTTGGAAGGAGGAGGCCGGACCACAGTCCAGGACAGGACAATAGCCAACACCACGGGCAGAAGGGCCTTCTCAGCCCCCCTCCCCCGACAGGGCCTGGCCTGGGAACCACTACCTTCAGCTGCACGGCGGCAGAGCCGATGAGAAGCAAGGAGTCTCCGTCCCACACGTCGATCTGCAGGGTCTGGGCGGCCAGGTAGCGGGTGAACCAGCGCCGCTCCCCGGGCTTCAGGAATCCGGAGTCCACCAGGTACCGCAGCTGGAAGCCGGGAGACCCTGTGCGGAGAGGCCCCCACGTCCAAACGTAATTGGACTCATTCATCATCTTTACACTCTGAAGAGGTTTCTGCTCTGGTCACGATTACTAATTTCTGCTCCCGTCATAGCTACGGTTTAATAAACACATTAATCAAAGACACCATAAAAACCCAAATTAACAAAATGAAGAGTGGAATTCAGAAGACTACGCTTCTTCCGATAGGTACAATAAACTCCTCCCGAGATGAGATCTACGGTTTTCACCCAGTCCTTGCGGGACAGTCCATGCTGGGTGGGGACCGGGCCCTCGTGGGCGGGCCGGGGAGTTGACTCTTCAGGGCACAGCAATTCGGGAGAAATTAGTCAGCATCTCCCATCAAAACTGGGATATTCAGCCCTGGCCGGTTTGGCTCAGAGGTCAGAGCGTCGGCCCACAGACAGAAGGGTCTCGGGTTCAATTCCCAGCCCAGGTCGGGGCTGGGCAGGAGGCAGCCGATCAGTGTTTCTCTCTGTCTCTCTCTCTCCCTCTTCCACTCTATCTGAAAATCAATGAAAAAACATTCTTGGGTGAGGATGCTCATCCCCCCCCACCCCTCACCCCTACACTCTCACCCACCCCACACCCTCACACATACCCACATACACCCTACCCCCTCACACACACACCACACACCCTCACACACACACACCCCCATACACCCCACACCCTCATACACACCCACACACACCCTCACACACACACACCCCACACCCCCCACACACACCCTCACACACCCCACGCCCCACACACACACACCCTCACACACTCACACATACCCCACACCCTCACACCCACGCTCACCCCCTCTAACACACACACACCCTCACACACCCCCACAGACACCCACACACACACCCTTACACACCCACACCCCCACACACAAACCCTCACACACACCCTCACACATACCCCACACCCTCACACCCACACCCACCCCCTCTAACACACCCTTACACACCCACGCCCCCCACACACAAACCCTCACAGACACCCTCACACACACACTCACATACCCCACACCCTCACACCCACGCCCACCCCCTCTAACACACCTTCACACACACCCTTACACACCCACGTTCCACACACACACCCTCACACACACCCCATGCTCCACACACACACACCCTCATACACGCACACACCCTCATACATGCACACACCCTCATACACACACACACACACGCCCCACACAACCCTCACACACACCCCATGCTCCACACACACACCCTCATACACACACACACCCTCATACACACACACCCTCACACACACACACACCCTCACACACCCCATGCTCCACACACACACACCCTCATACACACACACCCTCACACACACCCCATGCTCCACACACACACACCCTCATACATGCACACACCCTCATACACACACACACACACGCCCCACACAACCCTCACACACACCCCATGCTCCACACACACACACCCTCATACACACACACCCTCACACACACCTCTGGCTCTCACACACCGAGCACCAGCCCCACAGGGAAGGGCCCCTCGGAAGGGTCGCCCCAGGCTACCAGGCTTCTTACTAAGAGGTGGGCACCAGCTTGCCCCCGCCTTCATCTTCTCCAAACGGCATCATCATTAATTCTAAGTTGACAAAAATGTCACTGAAATCACCATTAACGTAAGCGCAGGGAACAGCAGCACTGGGCCACATCCAATCAGCATCCCCCCTTCCATCAATAATGTAGCCACACTTCACGAGCCCCGCCCAGCAGAACATTAGCTCTGGGGAGGGAGGGGCGAATGTTCACCTAGCACCCCTTGCAGCCCGGGCCAGGCCGAGATCCTCACCCCACCCCAGCCACCTTGTCCCTGTGGGTGCCCACTCCATAATGGCCCCTCTGCTCCCCTCAAGACCAGGCCAGCACTTTCAGTGGAAGGATCGGAATGGGTTGGGACGGGACACGGCACTGGGCACGGGGGTGGGGGTTGGGGGCAGAGGGCCTGAGGGAGACCGAGGGAGGCTCCAGCCACAGCGGGTGAGCGGGCTTACAGGGGCCCTCACGAGGGGTGACAGTACATGACGCAGAGCATTGGTCTAGAGCTATACAACGCACAGCGCCAAGAGTAACCTTAGTGTAAATTATGAGCTTTAGCTAATAACAATGTATCGATATTGGTTCGCAACTGTAATAAATGCATCAACCGCACTAATGCAACATACTGCTCCCAGGGAGACTGTGGGGGCGGGGAGGACAAGGGGCTCTGCGACCAGCTCCATTTCTCGCTAAACCTAAGACTGCTCTGCAAAATAAGGTCTGCTCATTTTAAAACGCTTGGAACTGTGCCCTGGCCGGTTTGGCTCAGCGGTTAGAGCGTCGGCCCACGGACCAGAGAGGCCCGGGTTCGGTTCCCACTAAGGGCACCTACCTCAGTTGTAGTTTGTCCCCGTCCTGCTTGGGGTTGTGTGGGTGGCAACCGCCCGATGTGTCTCTCTCACATCTATGTTTCTCTCTCTCTTGCCCCCTTCTCTCCTGCTCTATCTGAAAAAAAAAATTTTTTTTTTAATAAAAATAAATAAATTTTAAAAATAAATAAATAAAACGCTTGGAACTATAACTGTGTTGCATGCGCTGTGTTTCAAACGCAAAAGACAACCTCTCAGAAGTGAGGCGCAGGAGAGACGCAGCGCTGAGGAGTGGCCGTCCGGGGGGACGCCCAGGCAGAGGGCCCTTTGATGGGGCCTCAGCGGTACCAGAAACTGCAAAACACTTTCCTTAGACTTTAACTTAGGAATGTTGGACTTCGAAATTTCATTCATGATGGCAAGAAAATTTGATTTTGGAGTTTAATATTTCTGGACTTCAACTGGCAAGGAACTTAATTCTGGACTGATTTCTCTCCGAGAATTCGTGATGGAAAAGGGTGTGCATTCAAATCGGGAGCACCTGGAGGTGGCTGCATGGCCACCGAGTGACTACCCCACCAGTGCCCTCGCTGCAGGGCCTCCGACAGCTGCACGGTGACATGTGGACCAGGGACGCTCTCGGCGGGGGGTGCAGAGGAGCCTTCAATCCATGCCTCATTCTGTTCCACTGCAGAGCCTCGGGGACTGTCAACCGTCCCCCGAGGGTCCCACGAGGATCAGCAAAGGAAAGGTGTCCCGTTTGGAAGAAGTGGTCCCAGGAAGGCTGGGAAATGGTACCTGGTTTTCCCTACCCCCAAGCGCAGGAGGAGGAGCACACCCCAGCTGGCGTAACTCAGTGGTTAAGCCCAGGGCAGACTGCAGGGGAGCACCCCCCCCCAGTACTCTTCCATGCAGGGGCCTCCTGTGCCCACCCTCTGACCAGCGCACGCTCCTCCCCAGGGCAGGGAGCTCATGGGCTGGAGGCTTTGGGAGAAGGAACGGGGCCTGAGCTGCTCACCCTTCCCCCTGCCCCTTCCTTTCAGAGCTGCCCAGAGGAAGAGGGGTCCACAGCTCTGCCCGGGGTCCCAGGCGGGCCCTGCCCTGCCTGCAGCAGAGGCCGCCCGAGCTGGGGTGAGCCACCAGCAACCACGTCCGGCCCTGGGAGGAACCCCCGTCCCCTACAGCTGATTCTAACTGAGCCCCACCTCGGGCGGAGAGAGGAGCAGCAGGACCTGCTCACCTGGGACCCTCGTGCCCGACAACCTGGATGACCCTTCCTATCATTCTCTGTGTTCTCAGCATTTATGCTCATTTTGTACTTTCTCTCCTCCTTTTATCGGGTTTGTTCTGTTATTTCCCCCACCAGAACAATCAGGTCAGCCCTTCAGAAGATACTTCCTTCTCTCCCAGTATAAGCATTTAAAGCTGTAAATTTCCCTGTAATTACCATTTTACTTGCCTCCTGTTAGTTTTGTGTGCAATGTTACTTTGTCGTTCAGTTTTAAATAATCATTTCTATTTCTATTTCTTCAGGGACTAGGGAATAATTAGAAGCACGTTTCAATGTTCAAAGAAGTCCAGTAGTTTGGAGGCTTCTGGGGGAGGCAGTGACTGCTCTCCGACCTTGTGGGGTTCGAGTCAGAGAATGCCATAAAGCTAAAGCTGACAGATTCTCCTGGTCTATGGGGATACCTGCCTGGTGACCTAATACTCATATATATGTAGGATTTATCCATTTTTATAAGTTTCAAAGTGTGTTTGAAAGTAATGCACATTCTCCAAATTGGTTGTACAGGTTTTTACAAGACGGTCTTTCCAGACTGTACGTTATAACACCCTCATCAATGTTCTCTGCTGGATCGACCAGTCGGTACGTTATAACACCCTCATCAATGTTCTCTGCTGGATCGACCAGTCGGTACGTTATAACACCCTCATCAATGTTCTCTGCTGGATCGACCAGTCGGTACGTTATAACACCCTCATCAATGTTCTCTGCTGGATCGACCAGTCGGTACGTTATAACACCCTTATCAATGTTCTCTGCTGGATCGACCAGTTGACTGAGAAAGGTGTGTCGGGGTCTCATGACGGCGGGCTGTCCATTTCTCCTCAGCCCGCCGCGGCTCCTTTACATTTTGAGGCCACGCCCGTCACAGTTCACAGACCCAGAACCAGCCTCCCAGGGAATCGCCCTTCACTGCTCTGTGACGCGTGTCTCCGTCCCACCCGGGCCTGCATCCGCCCTCCGCCTTTCCTGTCCGATGCTGACACTGATAAGCCACTTCCACGAGGTGTCTGATGTCCTCCTCCACCTGGGACTTCTGCTCAGGAGGAGCTGTGCTTCAGGTCCCAGCTCTGTCCCTACAAGCCAGGTGACTGGCCAAGATGGGACAACTGGGACCGTCCAAAAAACCCACTTGGTATGTTTCAATCCCCTGCAGTTTCATTCCATTCGTTCCTAACGCTGCCAGGAGGACGTGCCATTGGTCCCTCCCTTGAAGGATGCCGGAGCCATCTCATGACTTTGAAATGAGTAAACACGGGAAGAACCCCGCAGGAGGCCGCCTTCCCGACATGACTGCACCCCGGGTAGGCCAGTGGTGCTGAGGGAAGCGTCTCTGCGGAAGCTCCCCTCTGACGCACGAAGGAGGCATTCTAGAACGAACATGTCACCCCCGAGCTACCTCGAGCGCCACAGCCCTGATGGCCACGGACGCAGCAGGAAGAGCAGACGCCGCCGCCGGAGGGAATTGACGCAAAGCAGAAGCACACCCCGGCCACGCGCTGAGACCCAACTCCCAACTTACAGGAAAGCGAGGCAGAGGAATGCCCTCAATGCCACCTCGGGGTCGCACAACCGAAGGGCAGACCGTGGGGAGCTCTGGGGACACGGCCACGGCCACGTGAACAAACAAAACGAGAGACAGAGGATGGCGGGGGCGACTGCAGACCGGAGACGGGCCTCGCGCAGATCCTGATTTGAACTACTAAAAACGTGTATGAAGTTATTGGGAAAATTTATCATTGGCTAGATATTTGATGATATTAAGGAAGCAGTATTAATTTTTAGGTGGGATAATACTACTGTGTTTATGTTTTTCAAAAAAGTCTCCTCAGTTTTCCAGGAATACGCGAGGCAACAGTTCCAGCCGGCACCGTGCAGGCTCTGGGGCCGGCTGCACAACGGCGTGGGGTGGGGATCCGGTGGGGTGCGGCGGAGGGGTGCTAGTCTCTCAGCTCGGGGTGCTTGAGATTGGCTCCCAGTCCGCATCTTTAATAAGAAGACTGACAGACGCGCTCACGGGCGCACCGCACTTACCAGCATCAGCGCCGTCCTTACTGACGGGGACCAGGACGTGCGACAGGGCCCCCGAGGGGGTCTCCCCAGGCTCGCCCAGCTTGTCCAGCTTGAGCAGCTGCAGCCGAGGGGTCGTCTCGGGCGGGAAGCGGTAGAACTGGAAGGTGAAGTACACCGTGCTGGGCCACGGCGTCTCCTGGTCCCCCTGGGGCACCCTGGGGCCAGAGAGCCGCGCATCAGCCAGTGTCCGCGGCACGGAGCAGGGCCCCCGCACACGCTTCATAGGAAGCCAGCCGGGCAGCACGGTGGCCCGCTGCCCCCTTCACCCATGTGCACAGCTCGCCTGGGACCTTGGGGAGCCCGCCTGACATCAACCCACTTCGGGCGCAGCCAGAGAACCCGGCTCTCTCAGCCACGCCAACCCCCGAGAACTGGCCGACAAGTTTTCACAAAGGACCATGGAAGACGGGGCACAGCAGGGCTCAGCACTGAGAAACAGCCGTGCATGAGTCCTCGTGAACCCCCAAAACAGGTGGCGTTCCTTCATCTACTGAGACCCGAACATAGCGAGTTCCGCCAGGGCAGAGGCACGCGGAGGTCTTTCTTCGAGGGAGGAATGGGAGAGCCGGGCACACGGGGGCCGCGGCAGGTGCTCGGGAGCCCACCTGCTGAAGGCCAGGAACTGCAGCACGATCTCGCTGCTCTGGAGACAGTCTGCTTCCTCCTTCTGAGGGCTGAACTGCACGGGGTCGGCGGGGCTCACGGCCTCGACCGGCTGCTGGCTGGCATCCAGAATGCCAGGGATGCCGGAGGACTGCAGCAGCGCCAGGCAGGCCCTGGAGAGCTCCCTGCTGGAGCTGAAGCACAGGGCTGCTGGGAGGCGGCGCCTGGGGACCCGCCTCCTGGGCAGGCCCTGGAGAGCTCCCTGCTGCAGCTGAAGCACAGGCCTGCTGGGAGGCGGCGCCTGGGGACCCGCCTCCCCGGCAGGCCCGCGTGCAGAGGGCCCGATGGTCTCACCTGCGGGTCTGGGTCCCCACGACGATCGGGGCGTGCACAGGGGTGAAAGGCAGCTCCTGTAACTGTCCGGCAACACACGCTCCCGGGACCGAGGACGTCCGGCTCAGGTCCGCTTCCAGGTGTGCAATTCCTGCCTCCAAGGGGGGCCCCTGCGGGATGGAACCAGGCCCCGGTGAGGCCCCCAAGGATACTCATCCCTGCGCTGCCTGTCACATCAGTAGCATTAGCAAACAAAACACAGGAGGCAGCCCCGGCTGGTCTGGCTGTGGTTGGAGCGTCAGCCCAAGGACCAAAGAGTCCCGGGTTCAATTCTAGTCAAGGGCATGTACCTCGGTTGCCGTTTGGTCAGGGTCGTGCAGGAGGCAGCCAATCAATGTGTCTCTCTCACATGGATGTCTGTCTGTCTCACTCTCTCTTTCCCACTCTATCTGAAGATAAACAGATAAACACCCTTGGGTGAGGATTAAAAAAAAATGCAGGAGGCTCAGTGCATTTCAACTGCAGGTAAACATGAACAGCCTCACTGTGCATGTGTCCGCACAGTATCTGGGACAGCTTACAAAGTCATCTTCCTCTGAAATGCGAATTTATCTGCACACCCTGTGTTTCCTGTGAGCTGAGAGGCAACAAGGAAGGACTCGCCGATGTGATGAACAGCTCAGTACCGCGGGAGAGAGCGGTGCCCGAGAAGGGACGTCAACATCCACCGTGCACGGACAGAGCGAAACCTCCTTCAACGCTGCCACGAGGTTGGCACCGAGCCCGGCCAGCACATCGGACACAGGTCCCCAGGCCCCTCAAACTGCACCGCCCACTTCCCCCGAAGCCGAGACGCACGCTAAGCGGCCAGCACACCCTCTCTCAAGCTCGCTCCCCAGCCGCCTGTCTCCGCTCAGGAGGGACTCCACATGATCGCAGGCAACCCCAGGGATGAAAGGGGCACAAGTCCAGGTGGCAGAGGAGGTTTGCACTGGGGAACTGCAGACCTGCGCCCCGTCCCCGCCCTGAACTCAGAGTCCCCCACAGGCTGGGTGAGGGCACTCCGGGAGCTACTTCCCCTCGGGACTGCCTGGGCGAGACCACAGGCAGTCTGCAGGTGACCCAGCCAGCTTCCGAGAGCAAACCGTGAGTTCCCCAAGGTCAGTGGAAATCGGGTCTACTTTGGGCCATCAGCTGCGTGAGATCGGGAGGGACCTCCCCGCCCCGGGACAGCAGTGTGCTGGAGAGCGGCGGCCGAGTCAACCTCGGTCCCTCCACGAAGGCTCCCGCGCCCTCTCCCTCCAGACACCCGGGCTGCTTCCTCAGGGGCAACAGCCTCCCCCAGGCCCTGGCAGGAAGCCCCAGACCAACCGCTCAGACCCCTGAAGCCTGGAAGGTCCGGGTGCCCGCGTCACAGAGCCCACAGTGGTGTCTGTCGCCCAATCAGAGACCAGCGTGCTGGCAAGGCCAAAGCTCCCCAGTGTCAGGAGCCTGGGGCCACTGCCTGGAAGGAGTTGGGGCGCACTTACCACCTGGGCCCGAGAGGGCTCGGAGCCGGCGGGCTGCTGGGAAGAGGGCTTGGCGGTGGCCGGGCGGCAACGAGTCGGGGACGGCGGGGAGGCTGCGAGCTGGGAAAGCGACAGCTGAGGGGAGAGAGCTCCGTGAGAAGATCCGGGCGCTCCAGGGGCCCCTCGGGACCGCCCCCCCGCCAGCACAAACCCACAGGAAGGAGGGGGCTCCGGCACAGCCACAGAAGGCGCTGAGGCCAGCAGCCTCTAGTCAGTGGCCGTGGGGAACCCCAAACCATTCTGATTTCCTCGATCTGAATTATTGAGAGGAGGACGGGCCAGGGACAGGCCAGCAGGGAGGCCAGCAGGGAGGCCAGGGACAGGCCAGCAGGGAGGCCAGCAGGGAGGCCAGGGACAGGCCAGCAGGGAGGCCAGGGACAGGCCAGCAGGGAGGCCAGCAGGGAGGCCAGGGACAGGCCAGCAGGGAGGCCAGGGACAGGCCAGCAGGGAGGCCAGGGACAGGCCAGCAGGGAGGCCAGGGACAGGCCAGCAGGGAGGCCAGCAGGGAGGCCAGGGACAGGCCAGCAGGGAGGCCAGCAAGGAGGCCAGGGACAGGCCAGCAGGGAGGCCAGGGACAGGCCAGCAGGGAGGCCAGCAGGGAGGCCAGGGACAGGCCAGCAAGGAGGCCAGGGACAGGCCAGCAAGGAGGCTAGGGACAGGCCAGCAGGGAGGCCAGCAGGGAGGCCAGGGACAGGCCAGCAAGGAGGCCAGGGACAGGCCAGCAAGGAGGCCAGGGACAGGCCAGCAGGGAGGCCAGCAGGGAGGCCAGGGACAGGCCAGCAGGGAGGCCAGGGACAGGCCAGCAGGGAGGCCAGCAGGGAGGCCAGGGACAGGCCAGCAAGGAGGCCAGGGACAGGCCAGCAAGGAGGCCAGGACAGGCCAGCAGGGAGGCCAGCAGGGAGGCCAGGGACAGGCCAGCAAGGAGGCCAGGGACAGGCCAGCAAGGAGGCCAGGGACAGGCCAGCAGGGAGGCCAGCAGGGAGGCCAGCAGGGAGGCCAGGGACAGGCCAGCAGGGAGGCCAGGGACAGTCCAGCAGGGAGGCCTCTGCATTCGTGGGCAGCAGGGCCGTCCAGTCTTTGACCCTCCCTGGTTTCACCTCCATCCCTGGACTGACTGTCACCAGGTCCCTTCTGGTTCTGACCCTGTGCTCCTTGGACATTAACCAGCTGGCATGGGCTCGAGGAGACCACTGGGGATGGGCCCCAAATCTGCCACTTCATCACCGTGTGACCGTGGGCAAGTCACCGACATATTTGCCTGTCTCCTAATCCGTAAAATGGGGATGCTAGTGGTGCCCAAACCACGGGACTATGGAGAGAATTAAATGAAAATTCATGGAAGGGCTAGGCCCGGTAGTTGGCACCTGTGAGCCTCCTACAGAAGACTGGCGTGGAGGGATGGGGCCCGCACGCTCCTGAGATCCCTCCGTCTGGCATATCCTGGACTCACACTGCAAAGCGGACACTTGCTGTCAGCAATGACAGCTGGCCCGGGGAGGTGCTGGGCCAGAGAGGACTCGGAGCACACAGAGGTGTCCAAGAGGTGAGGGGGTGTGGCTACAGGGGATCCCAGTAGCACCTTCAGGGGACAGAGGGCACCTTTTGGGTCTGCTCAGCTCCCCTCAGGCCCCCGAGCTGCCCCTGGACGTGAGGAGTGCTGTCCTGTGGCCCCTGAACCTGGGTGACATGGAAAGTTCTGGACAGATGGTGCTGGGACAGGCCAGTGGGGAGGCCGGGAAGCTGTCCCTGGACGGGTGTCTTCAGGCACCCAGTGTCCAAGCTGCAGTGTCCAAGCTGCAGGGGACACACCAACCCTGCTCCCTGGGGACAGCTTTGATCCCGAATTATCCAACTTTTCTAGAAAGTCGTCTCCAGGTGACGCTGGTGGGGTCATGGGGAGGACAAACCAATTCTGACCTCGTTCAAAATCACATGGACGCCAAGCAAGCCGGAGCCCTCTGTCCACAGGGGTCCTTGCCCAGGGACAGGGCCCCTGACAGGCGGCTGGCAGCGTGCAGCCCTCTGCTGGCCCTGACCGGCTGCACCAGCAGCAGCTGCGCGGCTGGCTCCCTGGGCAGCGGGGCTGCCACGCCCTCTCCTGGCACAGCTCAGAGAGGAGACCACGAGGCTGTCCAGCCCTGGCGATGCTCAGCCCGCAGACACACTGTCAGGGAGAGCACTTCACCGGAGGTCACGGACAGTCTGGAAGCCGTCACCCTGACAGCGGCTGCACGGAAGGCAGAGGGAGACCAGGACGCCCGGCCACCACAGCCTGTGGCCCTCCCTTCCGGCTCCCCAGGACCCTGCCCAGCCTCAGAAAAGACACAGGGCACCCACTACCCTTAAAGATGCCAAGAGGACACCCCTGCACCCGGAGCCTGTAAACGATTGGTCTGGAGCCCTGGAAAGGCCCCTCGGCCTGAACTTACCCCTGGTCCCACAGGCGAGTCCTGGGAGGTGAGCCCCTGGGGCAGCGGCACTGGCGGGCCTGGCGGAAGCACAGGGGAGGGAGGGGACCGTCAGCCTCGGCAGACACAGGGCGTCCCCAGCCCCACCTCATCAGGGCCGCCGCAGGGCACAGGGCCACAGCAGGGCAGCTCCCCCACGTCACCGCCCTGGGGAATGACCCCGGCCACGGCTGCTGCTCGCGCCCTGCGTTGCTGGCCAGTGCTCCTCACGCAGCCCCCCCGAGTGAGGCTTCTCCATGGGGAATGACCCCGGCCATGGCTGCTGCTCGCGCCCTGCATTGCTGGCCAGTGCTCCTGACGCAGCCCCCCGAGTGGGGCTTCTCCATGGGGAATGACCCCGGCCACGGCTGCTGCTCGCGCCCTGCATTGCTGGCCAGTGCTCCTGACGCAGCCCCCCGAGTGAGGCTTCTCCATGGAGAATGACCCCGGCCATGGCTGCTGCTCGCGCCCTGTGTTGCTGGCCAGTGCTCCTGACGCAGCCCCCAGAGTGGGGCTTCCCCAGAGCGAGCCGCAACACGCCAGGTGCTCACGGCCGCCCGTCCACCGCTCCGTCTGCTCACACCTCCCCCTCCGGAGCGCCGGCGGCTGCTTCCCTGGCCGGCTCGCTCACTGTTACTAAGTGAGAAACTGCAGGCAGACGTGCCGGCCGGGCAGCTCGGCTCTCTGGTTGTCTCGTCACTCGGCCCCGCCGATGCCCACTACCAGAGCCTGGCCTCGGAGCCTACTCGCTGGCGGCGTGGGCCTGTCAGTACCAGGAGGAGCCCAGGAGGGGCCAGGAGCACCCTTTGACCTCGGTGACCCCAGGCTGGCGCGAGCAAGCAGCCTCCTCCACAGAGCCCCCTGCTGAACAGTGTCTGCATGGTGGTCACGGAGGGCCCGGTGGCTGTCAGCCGGGCTGCTTCCGCCCCCGCCCCCAGGCCACGTGGGAAGTCCAGGCCAAGCAGTCCCCAGGGCGTGGCCCCTGCACAGGAGCCCAGGGCACCCGTGGCCTCCCGGTCATTCCCACGTGCTGCACGCCTTCCGTCTGCACCGCCAACCTCCCGCCTCTGGTCACCAGTGGGGCCCTGGCCCTGAGCCCCTCCGGAAGGGGCCCCTCTGCCCACCTGAAGTCCAGGAGCGACCAGGGCACGTGCCTGCCAGGGTGACGCAGCTGGACTCCCTGAGGACCACGGCCTGGCTCCAGCCCTCGGGGCCCCACCCTGCCTCGCTCACCACGGTTCCCTTCAGACAGCAGACTGCCCACTTCGCGTGACCACCCCCCACTGGACTTCAGGACAGCACAGACCGGAGGAGCCACAGCCCACTCCGGGCGCCTGGCCCTGCCGCCGTGACCCTCGTGGCCGTGGCCCCCCTCCCCCTGCGGGCTCTGCTGCCGAAGCCCTCCCACGGCCACGTCGAGCCCAGGATGGGCAGGTGCCAGGGCGCAGGGCGGGCCCTGGGGACCCGCAGACAAACCGGCCGAACCCGGGGCCATGAGGGCAGAGGCCTTCCTGGGACCCCACCCCACAGGCGGAGCGACGGGACGGCCGACACCAGAAGCAGCACCGACCGCCGGCTGCGCCCACCAGGCCGCCAAGGCCCCTTCCGGCCGCCTCAGCACCCACCTGGGGCCCTGGCCGTGGTGGCTCGGTTGGGCCGGAGCACCATCCCGCCATCCGCACACCGAGGGTCGAGGGTTCGATTCCCGGGAGGGGCACATACAGGCGGATACCAACAGACGTTTCTCTCTGTCCCGCGCCCTCGCCCTTCCTCCCTCTAGAACCAATGAAAAGCACATCCCAGGTGAGGCTTCAAACAGAATCCAGCCCTGGCCGGTGTGGCTCGGCGGTCAGAGTGTCGGTCTGTGGTCCAGAGAGACGGGGTTCAGTTCCCACTAAGGGCATGTACCTCGGGTGCAGTTTGTCCCCGGCCCTGGTTGGGGTTGTGCAGGAGGCAGCCACTCGATGTGTCCCTTTCACGTCGATGTTTCTCTCTCTCTCTCCCTCTCCCTCTCCCTCTCCCCCACTCTATCTGAACAAAAAATGGAAAAATGTCCTCGGGTGAGGATAAAAAAAAAAAAAAAGAACCCACCAGAAGGAGGCAGGCAGGTTCACCCCAGCTGAGAGACTGGGCTAATGGGGGGTAGGGACAGTCAGGGGACGCAGAGGGAGCTCCTCCCTCAGGTGGTCCAACCTGCCAGCATCTCGCCAGCCCAGCTCCCGTCTAACAAGCCAAGTCAATGTGGTTCCCGGACCCTGAAACACACCCTCGTCCGAGGCGTCTTCAGCTCCCGAAATGAACTCACTGGGGAGTCAGGAAGCCACCGAGCAGGCTGGGCTTCCCAGGAACGATGTCATCTTACAAGAAGCAAAGCGCAGGTGAGGATTCTGCCGGGGCTCAGCCGTCCTCCAAACGGCAGCCTCTCCCAGAATGCCTCGGGGCCCTGCACACACCCCACTGCCCAGCCCCTGCCCGACATGGTCAAGCAGCGAGCAGTCCCCTTTGTCCTACCCTAAACAGAGACAACGGCACAGGCTGACTTTGGTGACGAGGAAGGGACGGCAGGAAACGGCTCCATCGCCCTGTGCGAAGAAAACCCGGCCCAGGAGCCGCCCCTCCACCGTGGCCTCCGGCTGAGTATGGTCTGGGTGCTGGGACCTTATGCCCTCGGGGCATCAAACCGGCTGTCTCAAAGCTGGTATTGTGCTGTATATTCTTTAGGGTAGTTCTTTACATCATGAGGTATGCAGTCTTATCTTCCCAGAGGGTAAAACAGCACCCCAAATAAAGGCTTTGCTAGTGACTAAAAAGACGCCCCCTGGTGATCCACGGGCCACGGCCCAAATCCACAGGCCCCGGGGAGGCACAGACTGGGAGAACACTCACCAAAACCACAAAGTGACTCGGTTCCGACCCGTTTTAATGTTCCACGGGGTCACCGCTGGGTACGTCGCTTCCCCAACCACCCTGTCTGAGTCTCACCCGGAGAACACGGCGCCCTGCAGACAGCGCCCACTTCAACTCCTCCAAGTCTCCCAAAGCCCAGGTGAGGGTGTCCGACTGGGAAGCCCCCTCCCGCCAGACAACCAGGGGCAGCACGCGTGCAAAGGACGCGCGTGTGCAAAGCATGCGTGTGTGTGAAGCACGCGTGTGTGTGAAGGACGCGTGTGTGAGAAGGACGCGTGTGTGCGAAGCACGCGTGTGTGCGAAGGACGCATGTGTGAGAAGCACGGGTGTGTGCGAAGCACGGGTGTGTGCAAAGGACGTGTGTGTGAAGGACGAGTGTGTGCGAAGGACGTGGGTGTGAAGCACGCGTGTGTATGAAGCACACGTGTGTGCGAAGGACGCGCGTGCAGTAACACCTGGGGCGTGGACGAGGCCTGCGGCAGCACGGCTGGAAACAGCCATCGTCAGGCCACCCCACACACCCCAGAAACGGGAGCCCTGGAGGCGGATCCGGCGTCGGTGTGGGGAGCGCGAGCAGTGGACAGGGGAGGTCGCCCTGGGTCCAGACAGGGAAAGGGCCGGGACAAGCTGCAGAGTGGAGAACGCAGTCGCCACACGCTCCGCACAAGGGCAAAGGGGAAACCACCCGCGGACGTGGGGGTGCGGGTCAGCTCACCAACAGGATGGACTCGGGGGGCCACAACGCCCCCTGTGCATGGTGAGTGAGCACGCACCCGTGTGGACCTGTGGACCAGACTGGCTGCAATCTCAACATGATGGGCACTATGTCTCTGTCCCCGCGAGTCCCCAAAACACTCCTGGCCCGACCCACTCACCGCTCAGCCCAGCACCGAGAAAGGAGGTGCCCTGTGCTCACACCCGTGTGCAGCTCCTTCCGGGGGGACATCGGGGTGGCAGGGCCACCACAGGGCTCGGGTTTCAGGTGAGTAACCTGGACGTTCACAGAACGCAGACTCAGAGCTGCCTGTGGGTGGCGCTGGCGAGCCGTGACGCTGTCCCCCACCAGCGCAGCAGCAGGGACTAAGCCAGGAGCCCCACGCCCGAGGCCCGCAGAGAGGAAGCACCCACGCCACGGCTTGAACAAAGGAGGGACTCACCCCCAGCTACAGCAAGTCTAGCCCGTCTCAGGACCAGCTCCCCTGACGCTCCATCACCCCGCTCCCTGCGAATCGCTCACGAGAGCCCAGTTGTCTCCCGTCCCCAGTTCTGCTTCCAGAAGCCCACACGCCCTACACTTAGGTACAGCGGCCCCCGGGCTGAGTGTGCAAAACTGGGGTGCGTTCCCCACTAGGAGCAGAGGCCCTGCGCTTCCAGCCCACACCTACCAGGCAGCACTTAGGGGCAGGTCACAGAAAGGTAGCGACACAAGCGCAGACACTGAGATGGGGCGGGCCTTCAGGGAGACCCTGGGCCGGGGAGGGCAGCGGCCGCCAGCACGCTCTCCGGGAGCTGGGCCGCCCTCCTGCGACTGCGGCCGGCCGGGAGCAGACGGGCAAGAGGCAGGCCGAAGGCCTTGCTCCCGAAGGCCAGCTGAGCTCCTGGGTGCCCGTGCTCGGGCACAGCTGCGGGCTCATTCAGCGGGAGGCTGAGGAAGCAGAGGGCGCTCAGGAGGAGAGGCTGTCCGGGACACACCGCCGTGAGCAGCTGAGGCTGTTCCTGCAGGTGCTGCTGCTGAGTGACTTGCAACCGCTCGCGCCAAGGCAGGGAGGGGGCAGGCCCTGGAGGGTGGGCTCTGGCAGTGTCACCGGACAGGGGACAAGAGCTGTCCCCAAGAGGCTAGGGGGAAGGGAGGGTCATCACTGCTAAAGACCTAGCCAGATGCTCAGAGGAAGACTGTGACAAATGGCTCTCCGCATCAGACCCTGGAAGTGAGGAAGGGATCCATCTTTAACGGTGCTCCGGACACTAAGAGGTCATCGGGCAAAGCCACCTGAAAGGCCCTCGTTCCGAGCACCTGATCCTGCAGTCACAGGGACGGGGAAACGAGCGGGCGGGGGTCTCCGTGCTGGAGGAGCTCCGACTGAGCGTGGGACTGGGAGCCGTGACGCTCTCCCTGCCCCATGGTCCTGGGTGG